CCGCCCCAGAACGCAGCCTGTCCGGGCACTTGTGGGAGAGGCCCAAGGCCTGGGGCCCCGCCCTTTGTATATCTCCAGTGGGAGGGGGGCTGGCCCTGGAGGCTGCCCCTGCAGAGAGGTCAGCAAACACCACAGAAATTCCTTGCCCCGCCCAACCCAGGGCCTAGCGTGTAGGCTGCCAACGACTTCAATCTAGAGCACACCCTCCCCGACTAGGACAAGCACGACTGTCCCAACATTCAGCCTGAATTTGGACAATGGTAACATCAGGAAAAACACTGTTCTGAGATTTATTAATTTAAAAAATGAAAGGAGCCTCCCCCTTCCTTCTGAAGTGCGTGAAAAGCAAAATCCACCCCAAAAACAGACAAACAAACAAAAAACCCCAAACATTCATGGTGTAGTTTTTATTTGCTCTCAGAGGGCCTGGTATTCAAATGCACAAGCTAACCTTTGTTAAATCAGAAGGAAGTCACTGAGATTTAAAACCTACACGTGGTCTCAATCTCCATTCATCTAGGAGTCTTCACAGCTCATCACTGACTCAATATAGAATTTACACATTGTGTATTCATTTCAAGGGGAGGGAACTTAGCTGGGAAGCAAGAACTATTAATTAAATGGTGAAAGATCTAAATTTGCATTTTCCAGGTAATATATCTTCACAGTAGTACCCTTCAACTTTTTCCTTTAAGATTTTTAGGGATTAGTGAATTAGCAAATGACACAAACGCACAGAGACAGATGAGCAGTATACCGTGTGAAGAAAAGTAAGATCTAAGGTAGCCGCTCACCGCAGTGGAAACAGCCCCCCTGCTCGGTTCGGCTCCAAGGGAAGGGGGAGACATGCTTTGTGGCAGAGGGAAGCTCTCTTCTGAGAAAGCACTTCAAAGCTGTCTTTCAACTTCATGAGGACTTGTGTGCATTCACTACCACTCATGAGCGAGCCCAGAACTGTGATTCGCTTCCCTGTGACCTTGGCCCCTTCACCAAGGTTACCATGCACAATTCAGTAGTGTCATTATGAAGGGTATATGCTGTTTCCATACGTCTCCCCAGCATGCATACTTAGGGCCAATGCATTTTTCCAGTTTAGTTTATAATATTTTCCATGCCTCTTTCTTCCATTTTTTCCCCTAGAAAATTCAACCTGCCTCTATCCTGAACGCCGGTTACAGTATTATCAGAGATAACACCCATTATTTTTCTTTCCCTTGCTAAAAAAGATGAGGGGAATGTGACTTAAAAAAACAAGTTGAACGTTTAAGACGGAAGTCCGATGCAGGCAGGGTGACGGTGGAATGGCCTGGCGGCGGAGTGCGGGGCTCCAGCGGGAGCGGGGAGGGCGTCCCAGCCCCCCCCCCCCACTCTGCCCAGCAGCCCGCAACTTCCAGCCCGGCCAGGCCGGCGGCCAAGCGCGCACGAAATACCTCCCTCTGAGGAAGAAACGGCTCCCACCAGGGCAGCAGGCTGGAGGGGACGAGGTCAGGGCACTCCGGTCACCCTCCCGCAGGACAAGAGCATCTGCTCGGAAGGGGGGTGGCGGCGGAGGGGAAGGCTCACCACCTCTAGTTTCCATCAGGAAGTTGAGAGCCCTCAACAGATCAACTGTGAAAATAAAATCTCTAAGAGCTCCGTGTTAACAGTCTCCTTTAGAAGACAGGGTGACGGTGACACTGCCTTTTCAAAAATCCAACAGTCCTGCGGGCTGCGGGCGGAGGTCTCCCCGGCACACAGCGCCTCCGGCTCCGGCCGGCTGGGGAGGGGCCGCCCTGCACCCCTGCACCCGGCGGAGCGACCGGCTGGGACAGAGGAGCTGAGCTCCAGGCACGGGAAGGACTCGACATCTCACCGCGTTCTCGGGCTCCACTCGCTTTAAAACCGATTTAAGGTGTGTCGGGCAGGCTTAGGTGGGAAGCGCGGGGACGCTCCGGAAACGACCAGGGGGCGTGTCCCGCCGCCAGCCCCGCCCAGTGTGCTTATCGCCGAGGGGACGCCCCCAGGCCGCGCCCCCATCGCCTGGAATCGAGGTGCCAGCAGGTCGGGACCGGCGGGTGCTCTGGGGACCCCGGGACCCACGCACACCGTCCCCGGGGCGACGGCAGAAGAGAGTTTGCAGGGAGAACAGGGGAGGAGGCGAGGGGCAGGGGGAAACTCCCGAGATAACGGATAAAACCCAAAAAGTGGATCTAAGTGTGAGAAGAGAAAGCATCCAGTCTCCCTCTGTCAGGCAGAGCTCTAGAGAGACGGCAGGGGTGAGACAAGTTGCTCCGGGAGCGGGTGCCCCGGGCCGCTCTGCCGGCAGCGGACGCGCAGGTGCGAGGCTGGCGTCTGTCTCCATCTGCAGGCCTTCCGACTGCTTTGCTCTTGGCTCAAGTTTTATTGGTCAATATTAGTCATCAGTTAATAAGAAAAATAGTTTCTAAGTGTCTTTTTTTCCCACCCACCCCCCCCCCCGCCCCCCCCCAACACATCCCCTCCCCTGCTCCCTCCCCCCCCCCCAACTCTGCCCAGCAGCCCGCAACTTCCAGCCCGGCCAGGCCGGCGGCCAAGCGCGCACGAAATACCTCCCTCTGAGGAAGAAACGGCTCCCACCAGGGCAGCAGGCTGGAGGGGACGAGGTCAGGGCACTCCGGTCACCCTCCCGCAGGACAAGAGCATCTGCTCGGAAGGGGGGTGGCGGCGGAGGGGAAGGCTCACCACCTCTAGTTTCCATCAGGAAGTTGAGAGCCCTCAACAGATCAACTGTGAAAATAAAATCTCTAAGAGCTCCGTGTTAACAGTCTCCTTTAGAAGACAGGGTGACGGTGACACTGCCTTTTCAAAAATCCAACAGTCCTGCGGGCTGCGGGCGGAGGTCTCCCCGGCACACAGCGCCTCCGGCTCCGGCCGGCTGGGGAGGGGCCGCCCTGCACCCCTGCACCCGGCGGAGCGACCGGCTGGGACAGAGGAGCTGAGCTCCAGGCACGGGAAGGACTCGACATCTCACCGCGTTCTCGGGCTCCACTCGCTTTAAAACCGATTTAAGGTGTGTCGGGCAGGCTTAGGTGGGAAGCGCGGGGACGCTCCGGAAACGACCAGGGGGCGTGTCCCGCCGCCAGCCCCGCCCAGTGTGCTTATCGCCGAGGGGACGCCCCCAGGCCGCGCCCCCATCGCCTGGAATCGAGGTGCCAGCAGGTCGGGACCGGCGGGTGCTCTGGGGACCCCGGGACCCACGCACACCGTCCCCGGGGCGACGGCAGAAGAGAGTTTGCAGGGAGAACAGGGGAGGAGGCGAGGGGCAGGGGGAAACTCCCGAGATAACGGATAAAACCCAAAAAGTGGATCTAAGTGTGAGAAGAGAAAGCATCCAGTCTCCCTCTGTCAGGCAGAGCTCTAGAGAGACGGCAGGGGTGAGACAAGTTGCTCCGGGAGCGGGTGCCCCGGGCCGCTCTGCCGGCAGCGGACGCGCAGGTGCGAGGCTGGCGTCTGTCTCCATCTGCAGGCCTTCCGACTGCTTTGCTCTTGGCTCAAGTTTTATTGGTCAATATTAGTCATCAGTTAATAAGAAAAATAGTTTCTAAGTGTCTTTTTTTCCCACCCACCCCCCCCCCCGCTCTGTGTGTGTTGTTCTGTTTTTAATTGAGTTAATTGGATACCACGGTCAGGTGTATGTGTGTTCAATCACAGCCGTTAATTATTCCTTTTTCTTAAATTCTTGGTTTCCATAGCTGGAGCCTTTCTCTATTTCAGTCACTCCTATCAGTCGGCGGACTCCAAAGGAAGCTTTAAAATAAGAAACAGGTGAGGTTAGACTGATTGCTGGCAAGCTGGAAAAGTCGTCATGGGGGTGGGCGGACCTTCGGCCTCAGACTTCGCTGGGGCGGGCAGGCCGGCCTTTTCCCCTCCTCCGCCCCTCCCTGCCCTGCCCACTCAGCCTGTCCCGGCGCCGGCCGGCTCTGCTCCCCCACCAGCCCGGGGGGAGTGTGCGCCCGCTGCGGGGCGCAGTTCTCAGCCAGGGCTGAGGGCCGTAGTGCCCAGCCAGGTACCCAACAGACCGGGTGCCCAGCAGTGCACTCAGGAATGCAGGGCCTCGAAAGCGTCCTGGGAACCTCATCCCATCACACCAGCCCAAGCCCCTAACTGCCCGAGCGCAAACCGGTGGCCCAGGCCCTCCCCACACAGCTCTCGGAACGAGATGCCAGGCGGGCGGATGGCCGGCCAGCTTTCTGGACAGATGGCCCTGGAATCTAGCTGTGGCCTTCACGGCCCTGTGGCTCAGTGGCCAGAGCAGCTCTCTGAGGCCGGCAAGGCTCAGGGTGCATCCCGGCTCCCAGGTGACCATCTCCAGGCCTGGGCGCCGCGGCCGGCACATGGAAGACTCCCCACCTCAAGCCGCGCCACCACGCCCGTTCATTACCTGCCCCGACAAACCCCAGGAACGTCAGGATCAGAAGAGGAGACCCGCTGGCAAAGACGCCTAAGACAAAACTGAACAGAGGAGACAGGAGAAGTGTGGCCCACAATAGGAAGTTCAGGAGTGTCCACGGCCGCCGGGCGGGTCTGAACTGCTCCCCCGGAAACACGCCCTTCTGGTTATACACCTCCTGCAGCGCATCCTGAAACAGTCAACCAGAAAAGTGGCCTCTTCGTGTGCTGTTGTTACAACCCCACAGTGAAAAATGACTCAACCTATAAATAAAGTGGACGGGCCATGCAGGCTGCGGGTGGGAGATGAAGTTGGCATGACCTTCGTGGAGAACCTCTGTGGCCTGTACCAAAAGCCTGGAAACTACAAACCCTTCGACGGGGCAGCTCTCCTAGGAAAATTATCAGCCGGTGCCTGGTACGCGACGTACACCTTCAACACCCAGGACTGCAGTGTCGGCCGGCCCCTCGCTGTCTCCTGTGACATCTCCAGGGCGAGGGTGGCGGCCACCACCTGCTGGGAGTCCAGTGGCCTGGCGTCACCCCCCGCTGGTTTTGCCACCCACAGAAAGATATTTAACCTCTCCTTCCTCCGTGTCCTGGTGGCTAATGATGGGAGGACAGAGGACCGGGTGAGGACATGAGAGCATCCTCAACAGGGAAACGGTACACACGCTCAACCCCGAGCGCCAGCTGCCTGAGAAACTGCGATGCTGACATAGATTTCTCTGCAGCCACGACACGTCACATGCTAACAAGGAGATACACTCACGATAGTTTGTTTTCTGAAAGAAGTTGTGCCACATAATTCCGCTTAAGTAAAAATATGTACGCCTATATATCTGTCTAGGACGGAGTCTGGAAAGATGCACACCCACATGATTTGAATTACCCGGGGGGAGTAAATCTCACCTGTCCTCATTTTTTTTTTCTATTTTATTTTCTGCATTTAGCTTTCTACAGCTGTGTTGTGTATTACATTAAAAACAGGGCAGGGGGATTAACAAACACCCAGCCTCACAGCCTCTTCCAGCTTGTGATCAGGCACCAACTGCCCGCTGGTCGACGGGGCACGGGGCAGGCACCACAGGTCCTGTGCGGTCAGGAGCCACTGCGACCGTTATGCCCGTGTGTACACCTCCGGGCGACCACACGAGCCCCCACCAGAAGGCCCTCCCCTGTGCAGCCCCAGAACGTCTTCAAACCCGCTCACTCGGCCAGCTCCACTCTGACCACCGGCCCCACGCAGACGGGCCATGCCCTCCTTCTGCTCCCAGAGCACCTGTTGGGGGGGAAGCAGGGGCGCCCTGGGGCTCTCAGCGAGCTCACGGGTCAGGTGAACCGGGCCCGGAGGCTACCCAGAGACAAGAAGGCAGGACCTAGCCCCGCAGGAGAGTCCACTGTGCTTACAGATTTGCACCAAGTTTGTGACAGGCCTTTTGATCACCTGAATAAAACACACACACACATGTGACCCTAACGCAGATGCTCATGTACAATCTCACCCACTGCCTGCCATCGGCACCCACACCTGGCCGTCCTCCCTGTGGGGTGGGCCTCCAGGCCGTGGTGGTAGCCTCTGTCCCATCCTGACCTGTCAGTAATCCCACACACACCCAAAGGCTTCCCCCGTCGCCGCCCCTCCCACCAGCAGACAGCACCCTGCGCCCCCGAAGGGCCCGCTCCTGCTTCCCAACGTTTCTCCAGATGCCCCTGACCCCCCCTTGCCAGGCCCCGTCACTCTGGGAGGGCGCAGAGCAGGGTCCAGAGGCCAACCCGGCCACCTCCAGCCAGGCACTCAACTCCAGGAGCAGAGTCCCCTTGTCCGTGTCCTGCTCGCAGGTGCAGGTGGCATTAGACCAGGGGAAGGTCACCCACTCTCCTGGGGAGGGACCTGCCACACACACTGCTGCTTGTGTCACTCAGACATCGCGTCCTTTCTCCTAACCCTGACGCCTTGCTTCACCAATCTCCTCTTTCCTCTTTCTAACCTCTGTTGAACGTGCTTATTGTGGAACTTTAGAGAAACTGACCCCACCTAAACCATCAACATCTCCAGCCTCCCTCACCGTTTTCCAGTCCCTCCCTCGCCCCAGCCCTCGGGGGCTCCAGGCCCTCTGTCATTACAGGCCCCTTTCCTTCACCGACCCCGCCTGGTCAGCACAGCAAGCATGGGGGAGCATAGCGGGGGGGCAGAGGCCGGGAGACCTGGGGACAGTTCCACCCACAGGATAGTCACCTCCTTCTCAGGACCTTAGTTCCCACATCTGCAAAATGGGTAAACTGTCTGGAATGACCTTCAAGGCCCTTTGGTGACACCGAGGTCTGTTTCCACATGATGACCGGAGCTCACTGGTAAGTGACCAGAGGCGTCAGTGTCTCTGGAAACACGTGTGTTACAGCAGGACCAAAGCACCCAGTTTGGCTGCTTCAGGGTCTGCGTATTCCCTGGCAGGGGGCAATGGGGCCGAAGGTGGTGCAGACACCCTACTCACAAGACGGGGAGAAAGGGCTTCTCGTGCTCGGCTGGGGACATAACGGGCAGGCTCTTTGAAGCACAACTTAGAGACATTTCACAAGGGACCAGAGCCTCCTACCACCAGTCACGGCGTTAACATCTGGCAGAAACGCTCCCACACGTGCCCTGCTGCATGGGGAACAGCAGAAAGTTCATAAATAGTTCATAAATGTTCACAGGTAGGAAGATGACTAGCCAAAACGGGGCGTCATCACATGGGAAACACACACGATGGAGCACAGCATCTAAAGGGGTGAATTAAATCCATGTCAACGCTGACAGATGTAACAAACAATGGTCACTAAAAACAGAATAAATGGGAGAACGTGACACACAGTGTGGTTCCTGATGCAAATTACAATATAAGTGACATGAAAAGCGATAAAAAATGTATATGTCTCAATATTATGGAAAAACATAGCAAATAATAGAAAATACCCAAATAAATCAGTTATGTCAAAACCTGTCACTTGCTGTATTTGCATCAGGTTGTTTTAGAAAGTAACCCTTAGAGATGAAGACAAGGCCTGTGGTCCCATCCCCGCCAGGAGTCATCACACTTCAGCTGGTGGTCTCCATCCCCAGGAAGGGCTTACACCTGCACTCCTGTGCTCGGGTACCTCCACGATAATGCACGGTACTGCGCCTACACTTGGTGATTCTCTGTGAATAGCATCACACTATACGCCTATTGCAATCTGCTTTTCTTTACACCTACTTTCTCAAGATTCATTTAGATTGATAATGTGCAGTTCATTCATTTTAACTGAATCACAGTTAAATGAATACACATACATAATGTATCTATTTCCTAATAATGCACTTCTGGGTTATTTCTCATTTCCTGCTAAACAAATACTGTTGATTGCAAATGTCACTCTTTGTAAGAGTTTCAAACTTTTAAAAAAATATTTATTTATTTATTTAGCTGCGTCGGGTCTTAGCTGTGACACGCGGGATCTTTCGTTGCGGCGCGCAGGCTTCTCTCTAGTTGTGGCGCGTGTGCTCCAGAGCGCCGTGGGCTCAGTAGTTGCAGCACACGGGCTTAGTTGCCCCGCAGTATGTGGGATCTTAGTTCCCCGACCAGGGATCGAACCCACGTCCCCTGCATTGGAAGGTGGATTCTTAACCACTGGACCACCAGGGAAGTCCCTTCAAACTTTTAAAACCTGACCCTGATCCAGAGATGCATTCTCTTTTGCAGCCTCATGCATACAACGTTTTTCTGCCCATCCACCATGTGATGCACACACACACTCTATCCCTTTTTATTTAGGTTTCTTTTTCTTCTGGAGAGTTTTATTGTTCTTAGAAATCACACATTTCATCCAAGTTTTCAAATGTAGGAGCATAAAGTTGTCATATTGCTCTCATACTAGTTTCACTCCTTGCTCTTTGGTTGTGTCACCGTTTTTATTCCCATTAATGCCGGCACTCTTTTTTAATTGGTCAGTCTTGCCCAAGGCTTTCTATTTTATTAATATCTTTAAAAAAAAGCTTTTGGTGCAATAGATTCACTCTTTTGTAGCTTTGCTTTGTGCTTAAATAATTTATGCTGTTTTTATTTTCTTTGTTCTCTCTCTGGGTTTACTCTATCTTGTGTATGTTGGCATAATGCATATGTGTGCATATGTGTACACACATATATGTACATTATATACGTTCTTTTTAGCTATCCTATTCCAGACTTGGGTTTCTTGAAGCTGACGAAACCCATGTTCATCAGTTCTAGAAGTTGTTTTTTTTTTTGCGGTACACGGGCCTCTCACTGTCGCGGCCTCTCCCGTTGCGGAGCACAGGGTCCGGACGCGCAGGCTCAGCGGCCACGGCTCACGGGCCCAGCTGCTCCGCCGCACGTGGGATCCTCCCGGACCGGGGCACGAACCCGTGTCCCCTGCATCGGCAGGCGGACTCTCAACCACTTGCACCACCAGGGAAGCCCCAATTCTAGCAGTTTTATGGTTTGTGTCTGACAACTGCTCTTCACTATTCTTCCCACCCTCCTCTTGACTTCCTAATTGTTACATTCTGGACCTCTGTTTATCCTCTGGATCTTTTAAGCTTCCTTTTTACATTTTCACTTCCTCTGTGCTGCATTCTGAGTAATGTTCTCAAAACCTGCCAGCTTTACTAATTGTCTCTTCAGCTGTATCTAATCTGTTAACTAAGATTTTGCTGTCAGTTAGTAGCTTTCTCATGCCTATACATTTTACCTGGTTTTTCTCAAATCTGTCTCATTTTTTAATAGGTCTTGTGCTTTGGTTTTCAGTCCCTTCTTTTCTGCTTAATCATTTCAAGCATACTGATTTGAGTCTGCCTGGTAGTTCCATTAGCTGAAGTTTCGGGAGGGTTTAATTTTTCTGTCTGTCTGTTGTACTTGCCCATCGTGGATTGTGGTTATGAGTGCGTCTCCAGCAGAATTTTTCGGAAGAAACCTCGGGCAGCTCAGGTTTGGAGTCGTGTTCTTGTAGTTTTACATGTGCTTTTCTCAGGGACTCTAGAGAGATTCACCTAAAACCACTTTTTATGCTGATATTTTGGCTTAGTTCTTCTTGAACTATGCTGTTAGTAGAACTTCAATCCCCACACCTGTTTGAGGACAGTGTTGTGATTATGAATGACCAGGGAGACGTTTAGAGACCAAGGGGGGAAAGGCAACTTCAAAGTCACTTCCTGTGCTGGCAGTTACACTTTCCAGTTTAACCACTTGAGGGCAAAACTTCACTAGGGTCTTTAGTTCCAACTTCCAGCCCCAAGTGAGGTCAAATCTTTGTTCTCTGCTTCCAGGTAGGCATTAAAACTCAAGATTTCAGGTTGGGTGGACCAGCAAACTCCTGGAGCTTCATCTCACAGCCTTCCTACCTGGATTTCAGTCTCACCTCCTCTTTTGCTCCCTAGACATTTCTCTTACTTTCTTCAGCACTTGTCAACGCATCTAAAAGGATATGTGTTTTATACTAGAAGGACTTTCTGACTATCCAAGCCTCCCCTATTGCTGAAGATGATAACCTAGTGTCCTGTTTGTTTGTGTGTATAAAATAACCTTGGTACACACAGTATAAAGGCAGGGGTGAGGCATGTTGCGGGGGATGGAGGAGGGACCGGGTGGGGTCATCATAAGAAGCCTGTCCCATCATCTATATTGTGCCTTACCTATTAAATCGTATATATACACATACACACGTACATAATGCGTGTTATATGTCTAATTTCTTTTACATGAAAAAATGAAACAAGTGTGATAAAATGTTATTGCCAATGGTTATACAAGCATTATGAAATCCATTACACTTTTCTCTAGTTTGTTAATTCCGCAAAAGTTAGGAAAAAATGAAAGACTAAGAGGATTGGAAAGAAGAATTTGAGAGTGGCACAGCACTCCTGTCTCCAGAGGGAGCCAACGTGCTACCTGCCTGCCCTGTTAGCTGCCCTTTTGAACCCTCTTTGTGAGACCCCGAGAAGAGGGTGGGTGTGGGGAGAGCTGAGCGCCTTTACCTTCTCCTGGTACAGTTTATGAAGCCACTGAGCCGCTTCCTTCTCATCCAGCGGGATCTCTTCCAGAGGAAATCTCCTGTTTTATTAAGAAGATTGAAAGCAAAGTGAATTACCAGATGACATCAAACTGAAAAGAGGAAAAATAAATCATTATACATCAGGGTTAACTGTCAGCCCTGCCTTTTCTATTCAAATCTGACTCTCAATGTCTAAAAACACACACACATCAAAGTAACTTCTCGGGCATTCCCCCATGCCCGCTGGGACTGCAGGGAACCACGGAGGGGCCGGGAGGTGCTTCATGTGCCCGGGAGCGCGGAAGCCTCGCCCGGGGACACCCAGAAGCACTGAGCTGAGCAGATTGCGCCCCCCAGCTCCGTTGGGAAAACTGACCGTTCATTAAGCAGTTTTGGTCTTAATAGTTTGTTCTTTGGGAGTGACCATGGCTGAGAGTGTCTTTTATGAGGCAAAGAAGAGTTTGTGTTTCACAAATGAAATTCATTTGCTTCAAATATGAAAAGCAGTAGAGATTTCGAAACTTTAATCTCAATTAACAAACGGCTGTGGCTTCAATGATGACACTGACGACTGCACAGGCCAGATCACCAGCTGAATTACCAGCCCCATGAGGGGAGGTGTCTACCCGGTAACACAAGCCGGGCAAGGACCGCTTTCTACGGCAACTGTAGTACCTCGGGATCGCCAGGAGGGGCTGCTGAGCGCACGTGTGAGCAACAGTAATTTCACAAGGGACCGCGGTCATCCCGGGGGCTGGCTGCCCACCTCAGAGGGCCCAGGGTGAGAGCAGAGCCACGAGAAAAGTCCACGGCCAGCAGCAAATCTCCATGTTTTTAGGGATCTCAACCTCTGGTTTTTAAAATAAATTTATTTTTATTTATTTATTTTTGGCTGCGTTGGGTCTTCGTCGCTGCGCGCGGGCTTTCTCTAGTTGCAGCGAGCGGGGGCTGCTCTTCGGTGTGGTGCTTTTCATTGCGTTGGCTTCTCTTGTTGCAGAGCACGGGCTCTAGGCACGTGGGCTTCAGTAGTTGTGGCACGCAGGCTCTAGAGTGCAGGCTCCGTAGTTGTGGCGCACGGACTCAGTAGTTGTGGCCCATGGGCTCTAGAGCGCAGGCTCAGTAGTTGTGGCACACGGGCTCAGTAGTTGTGGCACGCGGGCTCTAGAGTGCAGGCTCCGTAGCTGTGGTGCACAGGCTTCTCATTATGGTGGCTTCTTTTGTTGTGGAGCATGGGCTCTAGGTGCGTGGGCTTCAGTAGTTGTGGCACACAGGCTCTAGAGTGCAGACTCCGTAGTTGTGGTGCATAGATTCAGTAGTTGTGGCCCGCGGGCTCTAGAGCACAGGCTCAGTAGTTGTGGCGCACAGGCTCAGTAGTTGTGGCATGCGGGCTCTAGAGTGCAGGCTCAGTAGTTGTAGTGCGCAGGCTCTAGAGCGCAGGCTCAGTAGTTGTGGAGCATGGGCTTAGTTGCTCTGCTGCATGTGGGATCTTCCCGGACCAGGGCTCGAACCCATGTCCCCTGCATTGGCGGCCGGATTCTTAACCACTGCACCACGAAAAAGCCCAAAGCCCTACCTTCCTGTCTCTAAAAGTTGAGAACTTTGGTTTTTGTGGGTTATACCGATCCAACTTTACCATCCATCTTGTAAAACTTCCCAGTTTTACAAGCACACACGCAACCAGACATCTGAGCGATGCTGGGCCACATGTCACGCAGCCTCTGGGAGACTCCCCTGTACGCTCAGAGGAGAGAAGACTTAGAACCTCCTAGTAAACAAAATGGTTTAACTCTGTGGACCCGAAAGGTGCTGGGGACCTCCAGGAGCACACGGTGAGAGGTAGTGCTTGAAGGGTTTGCCACAGGTGATGTCTCAGGAAGGGAAGGAAGTTGGAAGGGGTCTGTCCACAGAGGGATGATGGCCCAAAGTGTCAAACTCATGTGACTGTTCTCCCCTGTATTCACATTAGCACACACAGGTTCTGTTGTATGTCTGTTATATGCAGGACAAAATATATAAAATAAGAATTTTAAACGATGAGATAAAACATAAATACAACTCTGGAGTTGACTCCACTTTGAGGACGCTGGCCCCACCTGCCAGCATGGACACAGGAGAGCCTCAAGTCACCATCCCCAAGGCCCTGGCCATGCCCAGTCTCAGGCCCCCGGGGAAATAAGGCACAACTCCACTGGGTCACAGGAACCTTGTCTTCTTTGATTACAGGTATGTTTTGGACTCACTGGGATATTGCTTTTACTCAAGACACCCGTTTGGTAATACAAAACAATAAGTTGAAACTTTTAGAAATTCTAAGAATATATTTATTAAGATGTGATTGGGTGAAATATAGCCTCACATTTTCTGCAACAAAGGGGAAAACGAGCAGATTAAAGCACCACGTGGAGGGGCGCTACAGCATGGAGGGGCACCACTGCTCTCCAGCTGGAGCTGAGCGCCCACGTGGAGGGGCGCTACAGCCTGGAGGGGCACCACTGCTCTCCAGCTGGAGCTGAGCGCCCACGTGGAGGGGCGCTATAGCCTGGAGGGTGGTGTGAGCATTGGCCTGCAGCTGGACCAGGCGGGCTCCCCCAGCTCTGCCACCTACCAGCTCTGACCTCGGGCGGCTAAGGCTGCCAGAGCCCTCCTACCCAGGGACAAAAGCAGGATCTGCCTCTGAGGGCTCCCGTGAGGGTGACCGGGACCATCCAGGGCCCCAGAAAAATCACCCGTTCCCTGTTGGCCACCAGTGGTCAGCCCCCGGCCAGGGGTTCTAGAGAGCTAAGGGCAAGGGTCCTGGGCTCTCCCTTGAACCCGGGATGGAATAAGAGACCCTACAGCGACTTTGAGCTAGTCCTCTGTGAACGTCAGAGGGAAAAAGCCACCCAGCTTCCTGTTTATCTTCATAAAATGATTCCTGGAAACTTCCTACACTGGGGCAGGAGAACTGAGTGGTACTTTTTAAAAAAAACTTGTCCTGGCTCAAGCTCTCAAGAAAGAGGGCCGGTCAGAGCCTCCTTGGGTCAGACTGACCAGGATGGACACCAAGTCGGTGGTGGTCAGTGGCCGACATGGGGCTGACACAGAGACGGGGCTATGTGGTTTATACACACAGGAACGTCCTGCCTTTCTGGGCACATGTGAGTGAAACAGGAGACTGGCGAGTTCAAACAGGACGATCCAGACAGCACATGGACCTGGAAGGCCTGCCTGGAATTAGGCCTGGAGCTGGAATCAGGTCAGAACACCACTTAATGAATAGAGCAGCCCCCAGGCTGTGCTTTAAGGCAAAAAGATTTTGGGGTGGGCTATCTTTTCTTCACGAGGCAGAAAAACATGGAGCATCAGAGCGTGGCGTGGCGGAGAGACACAGCGACCTCCGGCCACAGCCCTAGTCCCTGACCTTGATCTTGTGTTACAGACATGGAGCCCGCTCTCCCAGTGGAGCCTCAGGCTCTGCCAGTGGCTCTGGACGTCTGGACATTTCACCAAGGCCACGAGTCACTCGGGATGGAACCCAAAAGGGATTCTGTTCCCCTCTGACCCTGAGATTCCTGCCCCTCTGGGCCAAAGCCACCAGTGCCAGCAAAAGTCACTCCATAAGCAGTGCAGCGTCAGGCTGTAAGGTTCCGCGTGAGGGAGACCCTGCACTAATCAGCTCAGAGAGATGCGGGTTTCTATCCGGGGTGAAAGATCAGCACCGTGGCGGGGCGGGGAGGGGGCGGAGCCAGCCGCAAGGGTGAAAGATCAGCACCGTGGGGGGGGCGGGGAGGGGGCGGAGCCAGCCGCAAGGGCTTCCGCGAAGGTGGGAGGACAGGGTGCAGGTGGCCTCTCCCATTATGGCCCAACAAACCGGAGAGAAAGACGGTCACTTAGTCATTTCCCTTCCTCTGCTCCCCGAGTGGCGCCTGGAGCCCTGCCCACCGAGCACTTTCTGCATCGCCGGCCCCAGGGCAGGGCTTGGGATGGGCCCTGGGAGCTCCCCCGCCCACGGAGCACCTTTCTGCCTCTGCAGCAGTGAATCCTTTCAGAAGCTCCCTTTCCTGTGCATACAGCAGAGACGCAATAAATGCTCACTGCACAGACCAACGGGAATAGTTTCTGATAACCTGGGGACATTTTAAAGGCCATATGGGGCCCCTCCTCGGGCTGAGTTTCGCTCCTGGGGGATCCTCGGGTGTCCCAGGGGGGGCCATCCGGAGCTGCCCTGCGGTTCACCAGTTCAGTTCCGGGCGGGGCTGCCTCTGAGCCAATGGGGTGTAGGCTGGCTGGGTGGAACCTCCCAGCTCAGACCAGGCGCCAGGAGCCCTAAGCCCAGCACGTGGCCCTGACCCCCCCTTCTCTCCCAGGTGGTCTGCATGGCTGTGCACCATGAAGAGGGGGACACGTGTGCGTCCCATTCAGACGGGGACAGCTTGTCCTCCTGTCTATTAAAGTTCTACTTGCTGTCCAAGGTTTAGCTCAGAAGCCTCCTCCAAAAAGCCTCTGCTCCCTCCAGTGGGAGGGGTCACGCCTCCCTTGGAGCTTCTGGAACATTCCTCCTGTAAGTCGCACCCACTCCTTTGCTCTGTACCGTCCCCACCGCGTGCCCGCCCTGGAGGGTGGAATGCCGGCCACCTCCACGTGGGGGCCGCCGGGAGGCAGCCCGGAGGTGGGAGGAGCTGGCCCCAGTCCCACCCCCCTGCCGGCCTCGCCCCTGTGGGCCCCTGTCTGCTCCTGTCTGCTCACCTCACACACATGTCCGCCTCATACTTCTTCCCGTAGAGGATCCCCAGCAAAGACGGGTTCTTGTTTCCTCGGAAGTTCAGTGTGACGTCGTAGACAGCTGCGACTGCAGAGAGAGGGGCAGAGGGTGACAGGTGCCAGCTGACATCCGGCAGCAGGGCCACCGCGGCTCTTGACCTGCGTTGCGCTCCTTTTGCCACTTCTCTCTTATTGGGGCATTTAGTTGACTCACATCTACCATACTTACGGGCACGTTCGTGTTTAAAGCCACCGTTTCCTATCCATCCTGTCCTTTGTCCCTTTCATCCTGCCTTCCTTTTGGATTAACTGGATATATATTTTTTCCTTTATAAATAGGCTTTCAGTTATATACCTTTTTAAATTATCATTTTAGCTGTTTTCCACTAACTAGTATTTTATCACCTCAAAAAATGACACGAGAATCTTACAACATGTAAATCCATCCGAGTACTCAGTTCTCCCTTTAACGCCACTGGCATCCTGTATTTTACACGGAACTCACTCATCTGGTTTTTGGCAAATCACTGACTTCGCGTCTTGCTTTGCTCGGAGCCGGGGCTGGAGACAGTCCCAGCGGGTGGCTCTTACCTGTCCCACGGAGGCACTGGACCGCGGTGGTGAAGCCCTTGGTCCGAGGCAGCAGGTGGTACTTGAGGACGGGCAGCCCCTTGGAGGCCGCCACCTCCATGCTGACCCGATGTTTCTTCTCCGTGAAGCGCGTGCCCTCACAGTACAGGAGAAACTAAGACACAGACAGGGGACGGAGGTCAGTGCGGTGCTGGCGACCGGGCCTGGAGCCCGACAGGCTCCTCATCGCCCGTGTACGTGCGCCACCCCC